TTCTTTGGCGTGCAACAAAGTGGATTCTACGTTCGTGCAAGTATTGGATGTCGGTTCGCAAGACACACCTGCAAAGTTTGTAATTTCAGTTTCCTGATCGAGAACTCTTATTGCGCATGCGCTAGGTTTCCGGTTATGGTGTCGCTTTGCCGTAACCCAAATTTTAACGTACAACACAACAAGAAGGCTAGATACCGTTATAAAGAAAACTACAAACATAACTGTGTTAGCTTTATGTAATGCGGTCCCCCTATAGGTATCGTCAACACTGCAAGTGTAGCCGATGATATTGGCATTTGGTGTTTTTTTCTTCTGTAAGCCTTGGATTATAAAATACGCGATGGAAAGGACCATAGCTAAGAATGTAAGAAAAATACAAGAAATTCTTGCTTGTTTTACGCTCACTTGACTGTTAAAAGGCTTGCAAATTTTTCTGTACCTAAAAGATAAACATACAAAGATATTAACCAAATACTTAGTTATTTAAACAATTTATGAAAGTATTGTGATATTAGGTATATCACCAATAAATATGCATTCTGAGTCATTTACTAACTCAAGGTTATATGTGACCTACTTAGGTCTGGTAATTTTATTTTGACATTTGTTATAATACCATATATGGTCTGTGGTGCAATGACCGGTTTTTTTCCGCTGTCTTACTATGAGAGTCTTAGACTCAGAAATTTTCCATCAAGAGATGATTGATTGATTCAGACCAGATGACGACCCCAACCAATGGCCTTATGATTTGAAGGTGACCTTCCATGTTGCCTAAGTCTATAAATAGACTGCGCACAGGCGTCTCGAGGCAGTTCATTGACCAGACGTCGTTGAGAGACATAAGCCCTGTGTGTTGCCGTGTAGTACTAAGTTGTTTAAGTAGCATATTCTTATATTACTTGTGGTTAAGTAATTCTTTATGCTTATAGCAGTGATGTGTATACTGTGGTGATTTTTCTGAAGTGTTAAAAGCTGTGATAGTGTATCATATTATTATTTCCCACAAATTCTAAGTTGGGTTTTGTTCATTCTGTAAATCTATTTTATTCCTGTATAAATCTAGTGTTCTGCCACGACTTTGTACACTCATTACAAGTTATATGCAGATTAAATGTATTGTTGGCATCAGTAGTTTCTCTAGTGTTTCCCCTAGACATCAAGTACGAGTCCTAGTAAAACTATTGTGTTAGCTTTCTTTTATTTAGGCTTGTCGCCATCTGTGTATAATCAGTTAAACGAATCCGCGAGCGTTCGCCAACTATCTGGCTGATAGATTGGTGTCCGTTACATATAATTGATTCTTTAATAAAAATATCCTTTTAATTAACAATTAATGTTTTTTTTATTTTTTTGTAAGTGTAAAGTATGGAATAGTATCATCAGACAGTACTGTATATTTTATAAATACGTTCAATACATTACCTAGTCACTGCTAAAGCTACAAGGAATAAGGACGAAGCTCCGTGGTGCACTACATGTCCATAAAGAAGTAATTTACACAAGTAAACCAAGCCAAAGTCCCAATGATGAAACATATTGTAAATGTCTCCTGCAAAGGTAACCATATACGGTGGAAAAAAAAAAACTTGATGAAAAAATGTTGAAGGATGGATTAGGAATTTAAAAATAAATGATGAAAGATTCAATTCTACGCGTAAGCCTATTTTAATTTTTTAAAAAAATTAGAAATCTAAATTAAATAAGATTTTACATTAAGAAACGACAGTATGAATAGACATTACTTTAAATTCTTAATCATCCTAATAAAGTAAAGTAAAAAAAAATGTAAGATACCATTTCAAACATGTTATTCATTTAGAACTACGCACACAAAAGAACAATGGTGACAATATGATCTCACCTGGAATGAGCACCAGGTTAGCCATCAAGTCAAAGACAGCTATCGCCATGATGAAGGTACCAGAGGCTGTACTCCTGAACCTCTGTGAGTAAACAAAGAGGACGATGGAATTCCCGATGATTCCAACGAAGCAGAGGACACTCAAGAAAATGATGGCAGGTATCATGGTGTAGGTGGAGTAGAGTTGTAGATGTGCTAGGTAACAAGTTCTTTCCTCATCTCCGTAGTTTACGGACACATTAGTACTTGTCGACACGTTACACTCCATTCTGAGAAAAAAGTTTTAAGTTTTTTTCTCTCACTGAAGCAATCTATAAGACTTTAAATTAACTTTACCAGTTTTGTTTTCAGCTTATAATGCCATTATGCTATGGGTTATGATTTTGATCACGGTTTGCGTCAGTGTAATGATATGGGATATACTAGATGTGTCTCGTCCACGAATGAGTTAATTTAGCTAATACACTTTTTAAATTAAATCATCATAGCACATAGTAATATTTCACAAATTCTGACATTTCCTACCAATTTTCAATGTCGTAAAATAAAGTTCCCTTTTTCCAACCTGAAGATAGGGCAAGTGAAGTAGAGTTCACTTGTTTCAGTGACCTCGTAATATGAAGAGGATATTGTGGTCAGCAATATGCCCAGCCGCCTTTACTTTCCCTTACGTGAGTTAGGTACCCATCAGAGCTGGGTGGACTCAGGGACGGTCTACTGACTTGAACCCGGATTAGAACTCGAGATTTACGGGTTAGCAGTCTAGTGCTCTACCGCTAGACCAATCCGTCACATTAAAGGTGTTTGAGCAGTATTTTATTTTATTTTTTTAAGTTAAAAAAAAAACTACATCTTTTATAAACGAATATTGTAACAACTGATTTAAACCAAAAAAAAGTTCTTATCATAAGCTACATCGAGTACTAGCTCTAATCATAAATCTAAACAAATCAAATACTGAATCCTTGATCTTGATACAGACACAATATTTTGAGTTAAATTACACTCCACTTTAGGGGTCGGCGTGGTTGAGTTGCTCATGTTGCTAAACCGAAAAGTCTCGAGTTCGGGCAGAAGAGACAACTCAAAAATTTAACAACTACTGCCTTGTAGTTTATTCTTGGTTGGACAAAGGCTAACGAAGCAAATACAAAAAGAAATGCAGGCTGAAATGGGAGTCAATGGCCTTAATTGTGTTAAAGGGAGACCCCTTCCAACAAAGTACGCAGAAGGAAGAATATACTCCCCTTCAGAAAAACCTATATGATACATTGTATCACACAAAATTAAAATTTTTAATTAAACTCGTTGAACTTACCTAATTTTGATAGATATTTTCGCTTATGACAACGTTTTAAAATGTGAAATCTACGACCAGCCTATCCTACATACATTTATTTTTCATAATCAATCAACTTTTTTTAAAATTGTGTGACTTATTTATGATTAGTTTTAGTTTCTCCATTGTACTAGTAAGATAAAATCATAAAATTGTGCATAATCTGAAGAAAAACATGTCCTTTTCTTAACAGCACTTGTGTTTATCATTCTTTTTAATCAGTTTCAATTTATGTTAAAATGTAGACGGTTTGAGTGATCCCGAACAATTGCACATAATGGTATAATTTCAAGTATTGGTTATATCTGGTGCTTAAAATTAAAATTTAAAAATGACCATTTAAGAATGTTGTAGTTGTGGATGTCTATAGTGGATGTTTGACTCATTGCTGCTAAATATATCTGTTGAATGTGGTGGTGTTTCTTTATACACAATATACATTGCAGTTCAAACCTATAGTTGTAAACACGATTGAGATTCAAGTCATATTGTAATTAAACCCACAAATAAAACAGCAGGTTAATAGAAAATTTTAATCTGGATAAGAAAATGATCATTTTAATCATATTAAGTTAACCCACTTAAATGAACATATGTTTATGTTAAAATGTAGTAGAAAATGGTACTTATAACTAAAGGGGTAACTTTAAATAGAGGGCTCCCAGCTACAATTAAAAATTAATCAACTTAATTCAACAATAACGAAAACATTGTACAACAATGAGTTAACAAAGATAGAGGGTGAAAACCTCTCTTGACGAGATCCAAAATATACAGTTCGCCTTTCCCATTCGTAGCTGTGAACTAAAACTGCCTCCTCTTGCTAGTATACTAATTGCCGTTTGTAAATTATTATTCCAGTATTATATAAAACATTAATATTTTTAAAATTACACATCGCTCTTGGTTTGTTAATAAATCTTTACTGAAACCACACACATGCATTTACACTCAAAGTTGCATATTTGTGTAATTTATCCATTGAACATACATTTACAATATGGGGGTTAAAGAAATATCTCGGGCGTAAAGATGTGCTAGGCACATGCAATGAATATTAACTTCAATAAATCTGCTTACATAAATATGTAGCCATAAAGTAAATATGAGTTTTACATACTATTTGAATATAGCTATTTCATATAATTTAGTTAATGACCAGTCATTCTTTTAAACTGACTCAGACATTCCTTTCTAAACCTGACATCACAAAAACTATACACAATGGGGTTGACAGCCGTGTTGATCAAATACGATCTAAACAAAAAGTGATACAGGCTCTGTACGTGAAAGTTCATGGATTCGGGAAATTCCGGAGCGACAGTTTTTACAGCGTTGAACACCATAAAGGGGAGTAAGCTTAAAATGTAGATAGAACTGATGGTCACAAGCATACAAGTGATCCTTCCTGAACCTCGACGTCTTCTTGTAGATGTGTTTTCTCCCTTGAAACTTTCGCTTACCGAACCGACGGTTTCGTTAATATTGAAGGTGCTTAGAGTTGCTGTTCGTTTTAGTGTCGAAGTCTCGTGTTTTTTACAAGACTTATAGACATGAGTATCGCTCTTAAAATTGTTAGTATCGCTTGCTGACTTCTTTAATATGAACGAGTACTTAATTTGATGGGGGGACGAATTTTCATCAGAAGGAATACGATCAAAGATTCCGAAACTTTTTGACAGCGACTTTTTTCTTATTGAGAATGACATATTCTTTTGTTTAGATGTAATGTCGTTAGGACTTTTGAGTTGAGGCTCTGGACCACACTGAAAACTGGAAACTGCCATTGTATTTTGCTTACTCCTTTTCATGTTGCTTCAATGTTTTGGTCTGCTTGTATTTCTCCAGTGGTGTGTACTAAAATTGGGTCTGTATTATTACTTGTCGGTTCGCAAGACGCACCCGCAAAACTTGCCATTTCCGTTTCCTGTTCTCCCCTTGCGCATGCGCTTGGTTTCCGGTTATGATGTTGTTTTGCCGTAACCCAAATCTTAACGTACAACACAACAAGAAGGCTAGAAACCGTTATAAAGAAAACCACAAATAAAACTGTGTTTAGTTTGTGTAAGACTGTCCCGTTAAATTTATCATCAACACTGCACACATAGCCAAAAATATTTTGATTTGGTGTTTTCTTCTTTTGTATGCCCTGAGTAATGAAATATAAAATTGAAATTGCTATCTCCAAGAAGGTGACGCCAATGCAAAAATTGTTGGCCTGTTGTATACTCACTTGCTTGTGAAACGGCTTGCAAATTTTTCGATATCTAAAACACAAACAAACAATAATAAAATATCTGATTAAATATATATGCAATGCAGCTTAAAAAAGGTAAAATTTGATTGAGGCAGAATATTAGCAACCTGTCATGTACTCCCAAAGTGATTTTCCTCCAATCCTCCAGCGTCATTTACCACAAATCAATTAGCCTTACAATTACCCCATTCTACATAAAACCACTGTCTTTAAAATGGAGTTTAAGACAATGCACCACAGGTAGACTACTTATCTACCACATACCAATTAGGGCTAGGAATAGAACATTTATGACAAGGGACAGGGAAATCGGATAGGGGATAAGGAATAGTTGATCAGATAGGTGATATGTGATATGATATAATGCACATGAGATATGGGATAAAGGAAATAGTATAGGGATAGGAATTTGAAAAGGGATGCAAATATTGTTTATAGATGTAATGGACATAGATGGACACAGGGAACCGGATATGTTGATATATCTAGATTAGTATAAGTATTTTATGCTTCTCATTGATAAATAATTACCCGGAATCGGACAAACCGCGAACATTTATTCCGGTGTGTGTGTGTGGGGGGGGGGGGGGGGGGGTTGATTGACAAGACCCGTGGTTGAGGGCAAGAAATATTAAGAAATCTTATTTTTACTTTACCTGTTGTATTTGGCATGTTTCTTTAAACATACAACAAACAGTATTATCAGAAATATCAACGATATAACGAGTTTTTTATTTGACTGAGTGTGCTGATATAAAAAAAAAACATGTGATACACACCTAGTCACTGCCAAAGCCACCAGGAAAAATGATGAAGCACCGTGGGTGACTGCATGTCCGTAAGACCGTAGCTTGCACAGATATACCATGTCAAAGTCCCAATGATGAAACATACCGTAAATGTCTCCTAGAATGTTGACATTACACTGAATTAAACCATGTTTTTAAAAGATTATGGGAGTTGGGAGAGGGTTTGCATTTTTCGTAGTCAATCTTTTTTAGAAAAAATTAAAAATATTTATTTTCGGTTAAACAAAGAGTTGAATTGTATTATAACTCACCTGGAATGAGCACCAGGTTAGCCATCAAGTCAAAGACAGCTATCGCCATGATGAAGGTACCAGAGGCTGTACTCCTGAACCTCTGTGAGTAAACAAAGAGGACGATGGAATTCCCGATGATTCCAGCCACACAGAGCACCACTAGATAAATGATGGTGGGTATCATGGTGTAAGTGGAGTAGAGCTGTAGATGTGCTAGGTAACATGCTTTTTCTTCCTCTGTGTAGTTTCTGGACACGTTAGGATTTGTGGACACGTTACACTCCATTGTTAGAAAATTGTTTGGCTGTCGGAACAATGAGTTGCATGATAATAGAGTGCCTTTATTCTAGTATTGTTGTCAGATTTTTTATTATAATTAGGGTCAGGATTTTGAGACAATAAGGGTATACAGTAGATGGGTTTCATACACAAATGTCGTTTTTTCCCGAAATCTATCCCTTTTCATTTAACCCACGCTTTTTAAGCCTCATTCGCACAAATCGCGCAATCTAATCAACATTACCATCACTTAAAGGAAACTTACAAAAACAATATTTTATTCAATTAAAACGTAACATAAGCTACATCACATTTCTTCAATCCTTCACTTACCCGAGAAACGGAACACTAGTTCACATCGTTGCCATCCCCAGCATTAGTTCAAGCTATAAATTGGTTTTTAGCTAATATTAGACCAGATCAAACACCGAGATTTAATAGTAGATCTTCCTCTGCTTCAGGTATATATATATATATATATATATATATATATATATATATATATATATATATATATATATATATTCTTCAAATATATTTACATAACAATTGGAATTAATAAAAGTCCTTGATCAAACCTGATTAGGCAGATTATTATCGATGTATGAAATCAAAAGATACGTGTTTTTCGAATTAATGTACAACATGAAAGTAACAATGGATCTGTGTTACATATATTTGTCATCATCATTCTAAAAATAATTCACATGACAAAATTATGAATCATTACCATGCTTTCTTTGCACTAGTTAGGTGAACTTTCGAAGTTCAAGGTTAAATTGTTTAGGAAAAAAAATGCTTATACAAACAACAATTGTATGTGTTCTTGTTTCATTGTAATCAACGAAATAATGTGATTCCGGTCGTTTGAGAAATTTTTTTTTTTTATCATGGTCCCATTAAAGTTTTATTGACAATTCCGATTGAAATCTTGTATCTGTAATATGAAATTTGAAGAATTTTTTTTTTCCATTAAAGTGTCTTTCATGAAAATTGTAGATCTCTTTGTAATGGTAGATTTTTTACTATTTGCTGATGAGTGTATAGGGCTTTGTGGGGGCAAGAGTATGTACACAAGATATACATGTAGTTCAAAACTAAAAGAAGAAATAAAAGTTTAGCTAAAAGTTATGCCACATTTACAAAAACACATTAAGACCGCAACTTAATAAAAAATTTAATCTAGTAAATAGAATGAATACTCTATTCAAATAAATTAAACTCAAACTTAACAAATGTTAGTGTCTTTAAAATACGATTTTTTTTATAGTTATAACATTAAAAAAGTTAAATGTTGCTGGTCCGTTGGATTTCTCTCCCCTTACTAGGCACAGTTACGTCCCTTACATGTCCCCTGCTTGTGTGTGTGTGTGTGTTGTGTGCTGGAACGACAGGTACCCCCCCCCCCCCTTTGGAATATAGTTTTAACGCTTGGTTGAGTGTGTTCACATGGAGCGAGAAGTGTTCACGTAAGGTGTGTCAGGTGACGGGTGTCAGAGCGTGTGCTAGTTAGTTGTAGTGTGGATGTAGACGTTGATGTGGCAGGCCGTGGCTGTCACTGGGGTCGTGTTAAGTATCATCATCTGTGTTAAAGTATATAGTATCTTTTATTGTTTTCATATTATTTATTCCTATATATTTAAATTAAAGTTATTATCATTGCTTTAGTGTTGTTATAAAGTGAATTTACTGTGGTGTATGTTGTCAGTTGCTATAATATACCCCTAGACTTAGACTGAAGAACCCTACAGGCACAGTAAAAAATTATCAATTTAAACGTGTATCCGATTGGTATTTGTAAATCTTCGTACCGTTAATTTTTAACACACTTTTTGACCTGTTATCTTTGATACTGGTGAAGTAGAGTATGTCTGTGGGATCGACAAGGAAATATAAAATAAATTGTATCACAATCACAACAGAATTAATGAATCCAATGAATATAATTTACACTTTTTTTTCACGCAATTAGCAATGGACGAAACTAAAATATAATTCAAATTGTGTCTGTATTAAACAAGGCACGCGATTGTTCTACTTCATTCGGCTTCTTTGATTTCATTGCGAAATATGGTGGTAACGCCACCTGTCTGTTTATTCTTTATAAAGTCCCGTCATCTCCAGTCGCATGGAACCCATTGTTCACCTTATAAGGATCGCAACTAGCATTGTCTCTTGGCGTTCCACCTTGTTGCATGTGGGCGATGATACCGGCGGCTTTTGACTTGGTTCTTTGATGATTATCTCACCTCGATTATATAGAAGGAGCTATGAAAGACAGCAGTGACAGCATTTTGCAATATTTAGTTGTTGATCGCTTGACCCGATGGTTCACCTTATAAAGATAGCAACTAGCACCGTCTCTTCTCTTGAACGTTTCACATTTTTTATGCCTTATTTCGATGGTTGTCAAGATAGGAACTTTGCAGGAACACATAGTACCTTTATTCTTGTCGGCCTTATGGTTTTTCGGTCTTATGGTCTGTTGGCCTTATGGCTGTCAGCCTTATGTCTTGTCGGCCTTTTGGATGTCGGCCTTTTGTCCTATACCCCTCAGGGACGTAGATGCGGGATGGGCAAAAGGACAGAGATAGCGAGAGTTCCACTTGAAGAGCTCGGAAGCCTATAAATAACTTGACACTTAACCTCAATTAACAGCCTCTGCCGGAGTTCAAAATGTTTTTCGCACCCCCACTAATAAGCTTGATGGCTGTAGCAGGCTAATTAGTCGAGTGCTGATGTATGGTGTTTGTTTAAGAAGGAAATAAAAGGAGAAAAAAAAAATTTGTAAACTGTGTAATGTTTGTTTATAGTTTGACTGGGACTAAACTTGTGAAGTATAGAGATGGACTGAAATGGACATTCAAGTAGAAGGTATAATTGTGATTGCTAGATTGTATGAATTATAACAGTATGTATTGAAGTTAAAAATTAAACTTAACCGTTGTGGTAACTATTTTTTTCCCAAGGAATTTGGTTGTTAAATGTTATATTATTTACATCGCTGAAATTGATTTGTCAGCATGACGATCAAGATTATTATTTTTTAACTTTTGTAGAAATAATATGCGCATCCACCAAACCTTTGTATTGTCCACAGTGATAAAATCCGATCGTGAATTATATGAGTCGGGTGTGTGTCTTGACTTCCGCCGAATCCTTGAAACAGACTTCACAAAACCTTGTTCGATCGAAACAAGATTAAGAACCACTGATCTAGATCTATTTGTATTGGTGATGTTTTATTTACATTGAAGAAAATAGGCGAAATTTTTTTTAAAACTTAACTTTTTGCTGGTTTTTTACTTTCTCGTGCAAATTTTTTTTTCGAGATTTTTGTAAATCTCGACGTTTTACACCTCACTGATACGGAAAAACATAATTTTGCAATCTTGTCCGTATGTCTGTGTGTGTGTGTGTGTGTAAACACGATAACTTGAGTACCGTTACAGCTAGGTTGATGAAATTTCATATATAAGTATTTTATCAAAATCGTAGATCCTGATAAACTTTTGAGCGATTTCCGATATACGGAAGTGGTACTTTTTCTACTTTGAATTTTTGAAAAGCCTATAACTTGAGTACTATTTCAGATAGATAAATGAAACTTCACATGTAAGTAAAAGATCTAATTCTCTACCTTCCGTCGATTTTGAGTAATTTCCGTTGAACGTAAGTACTAATTTACGCTATTTCCGATTTCTCAAAACACGTATGTAAATTTATAAAGTACTAATAATATCCCGCACTATTATGCACTTTTTATTAGGCGTTCACTTGGTGTGCAGTTCTTTTTTCTATGAGATTCTATTCTATTATACAAAGTTTAAATAATTAAAATGGATTACAAATATTGTCTATATCCTTAGTTGCCATCCCTCGTAGTGTTATATTAGAATATTCGAAAAAGTTTAGGGGCGATCACTCCCGGTTTATTTTTTTAGTTGTAGTTGTTTTACACAAGAAAATATATTATTCGACGCAAATGATGTTTCTCAAAACATCACTTAATTGATAATTTTAGTGTTGATTGTTACCACATTGTTTTATGGTCATTAAATGTTTACACTCTAATTGTTTCTCAGAAGGTTGAAACTGTCATACATGTATTTTGTTCTTCGTCGCTCTTGCTTGTAAATTTGAAGGGGGTTTCCTCCAACCTATTAAATATTACGTATAAGCATGTCATGGCACATTTACTCCCATGATTCAGACTGTTTTGTAATCGAGATTTGCCACTTTCTAGATACGCTTTTGGGAGCTGCTTCGCATTTAAATTCTTCAAAAGGAAACTAAATATTTTAATCCTATTTTTTAATCTACCTTTTCTATATTCTCAGTACAAATCAATTGCATTTTTAAAAGGCGTTTCATAACATATTCTCTTATTATTATATTAAATTGTTTAAGTTCTATATCGGATCTTAAAACATGTACACTACAAACAGGATGTACATATAAATATCTTTCCCTTCTCTGCTGAAGGTCGCTGTATTTGTGTACCAGACTTTCACTCCCCCCCCCCCCCGCCCTAATCACATGATCTGTATTTGTTCGTGAAATGAGACTGGTACCACGCGATTAATAGTCACGTGACTTGCTGACAATGCTGGCTGGACATCACTTTTCCCGGATATGACAGAGCCGCATTCTGAGTTGCATAAGTTATGTTGTTCATCGTAGACATCCACGGCTAAGTCTAATCTAGACTCTCTCTCTGGTCCAAGTTTGAAGGTGATAATCAATTAACTATTGTATATTTGGGCGATTCTGACCTTTGACTGTATGTTATAAACGGGAGAGAAGTCAAGACAGTGAATAATGTGCCACCATACAATTAGTGTTACTTAGAGTTTATTTGGAGTATTATATGACAATCCATTTAACTATCCTGTACTGTACTTAAAGTCCATAATCGGTACTGTAATTAAACCCCACAAATCGGTACTATACTTAAAGCACATGAATCGGTACTGTACTTAAAGCCCACCAATCGGTACAGTACTT